AGACTAGAAATTGGGCCATTTCCAAGCATTCAAAAGTGCAACCAGTTTAAACTCTTCTTCAAAGCAAGACATTAAAATACACTGTAGCAGCTTGCAGTGCCAGAAGAAATATGCAGGTTTCCTGGTTACAAATGCTGATAATTAACCCATCCCTGTAATATATTGCATTTCCTAGAAACAATTGTTTGCTGGCAGGAAATGGGACCAGACTGAAAGAGCACAGAATGCTTAATATGCTGCTAGTGACCTAGTCGCCAGAGGGAACAAGGGACGGGGAAGAGTATCCAAAGCCTCTTTGATTTAGGCTGACACAGTATTTAACTCTTAGAGATTTTTTTCTCTCTTTATTTTGTTGTTGTTAATCAAAACGGGTGTTGGCCTAGCCCCAGGAGGCTACTAGATTAATAAAGCCATGCTCTGACAGCTGAAGGCCTCTTACAACCCCCTGATCTCATGCCATTCTGTAAGAAATGAAAGCTCTGAGAGCCGGGGAGCTGGCAAGGAGGTCTCTGTCACAGGAGGGTGACTTTCCCCTCTACTAATGGGGACTCCCTGCGGTGCCCTCTGGGCTCTGCTTAGCGGGCAGGTCCAAAGGGGATGGCAAACCCTGGGGTCCCTGCTTTGGGTCACTTGCCCCCAGGAGACCAATGGCAGGGACCCCCGCGGCTGTCTCTGCTGATGCTACAAGCCTGTGCCTTGCTGGAGTCGGGTGGCTCTTTGGTGCCTGGCGGCGGAGCGCCCCCTAGCGGGCAGAGAGGCGTCGCAGCCCGGCGCGAAGGCCGGCTCGCTCGCTGCGAATCAGCCTGCCGTGGCTTGCAGAGGGAGAGATGGGGCGAGCGCCTGCCAGTCGCAGGCTGGCCCTGGCTAGGGCTCCGGGGGGCGAGGTGCCGCCGCGCTCCCCCCCCCCCCCCCGCCCAGTGTAGGTGGTGGTGTATTTATTTATTTATTTATTTAATTGCAGGTGGATTTGATCCACCAGCCTCCTGCCAAGGACGGGGACGGGGAGGGTGCAGCGGCAAGGGGGAGGAGCTGGGGGCGGGGGGGGGGGTTGGGGACGGAGCTGGCCGGGCCCCTAAGCGGCGGACCCCCCACCTCCACCCCTCTGCGGGCTCAGCAGCGGTCCAGCCCCAGAGCAATGGTGTCTCCAGCCCCCTCGCCCACGTGGGGGGGCCGGCCCCTGGGCGCCCCCAGGCCGGGCTCTGGGCTCCCGCCCCCCCCCCCCTTGTCGCGTTGCAAAGGGCTGCAGCCTGGCCCGCGACGGGGACGGTCTCCCCAGGCTCGCCGTGCCCCGGGCTCGGCTCCCGCCTCTCTTCCTAGAACAGGGCTGCCGGGAGCCGGAGCCCGGCGCGTTCCCGGAATGACAGCGCGGTGCCCTTCCCCGGCGCGAACTGGCCATGGGGGGGCATTTCCTCCCCGTGTAAACGCAGCCAGTCCGGAGCACGCCCGGCCGCTCACACCGCACCGGCTGGGCTGGGGCCGGCAGCTGGCTGCAAGGTACCGTGGGAAAGAGAAGCTCCGAGGGGGTGTCTCTGTGCTGGGGGGGATATTTCCTTTTCCCTCCCTTACATCAGCAGGGCTAGAGGGTGACCTGGGAGGGGAAGCATTATTTGGAAGCGGATCCCCTCCTTCCCACCCCCCCACGTGCAGAAAAGGTGACCTTTGGTGGGGTGAACCCTGGAGCGTGAGAATTTGGCTTTGGGGGGGATAATAGATTTCATATCGGAGTTGCGGGGTGGAGGGGGGTGGTGAAGGAACTATCAGCCATTAAATCTTGACCGTCTCTTTATTGTTGCTGAACTGTGCTGTCTTATGATCAGGTGACTGTAAAGGCCAAACGGTGTGGGGCGGGGGGGACGACACGACACTCATTTGCATCTGGCTTGATTAATATGGGGTGGGTGGGTAAAGGGTGTGTCGCGGGGGGGAGGAGCGCCTTCCTCTTTCTCAATCACAGCAGCAGATTGAAGGCAGATCCTGGTGTGAAGCTCAATGCAATGGTCCCTTGTTGGATAAGGCTGCTTGGCTGTCAGGAGCCCAGATTTGTCTGCTTTCTAGACGAGCCTCTTCCAGGCCAGCGGTGGGTTTGCAGAGGGGCAGCCGGGCGGACCCAAGATGGGTTGGGCAGCGAGACTGGACGGGTGATGTAGATGTGCTGGGGGGGGGGCAGCAGCAGGCTGGGACAAAGGACCAAGTAGCACCCAGGGCAGGCTGCCCTCCTGCCCCATCCCTGTCCAAGAATTCTACCACTGCAGGAAGTTCTTGCATTGCGTGGAAGGGGTTGGCATTCATGGTGAGCTTTGTACTTCTCAGACCCATGTCGTAGCCTATAAATGGGCCCTGTTCTGATCTCAGGGACAACTCTTGTGACTCCAGTAGGTCGTAGACATGCCTGGCATTTACGCTGAAAGGACTGAGCTCAGAGTCTGACCCGGTTGTGCATCACTTACACATTCCACTGGGGTGGGAACTTTGAAGCAAGGCCAGTTGCTAGCAGAGTCTGTAAATCTCTTGGCTTTCATGTGAACGCTGAAAGTGGCTGGCAAAGAGGGCTATGCGAAAAGGTCAGAGTCTGCAGTATTTGGGAAATGAGTCACCTTCTTTGAGTTTCAAGTTAGGGAGGCTCAGAGGCGCTCGGGAGACTCACCTCATTTGAGTGTATGAAATGGATTTTAATGTCATGCATTTGTTTTAGCATGTTAAAAATCACACTAATTCATCTTCCTCCCCATAAATCTCTGGGTACACATCTTTTGGGGCTTGGAAAGGTTTATGGCTATATCTGAAAAGCCAAATAACAGCTATGATGCTCTTTCCCCCTCTTTTAAATGTAAAAGCCAACTATGGGGGGAAAGTAATTGTCTTCATGTAGATAAGAAGAAAAATAAAATTCTCTTAGCATGGAGTGGAAAGAAGAAGAAATTCTTCTCTGTCCCCATTGCATTAACTCCCCAAAGCCAGCAGGTGGAGGCAAAGAGCATCTTTTGGCAGTCAAAGAAGGGATTAGGTCTGTTTCTAGCTTTGCTACTGATTTGCTGTGTGACCTCGATCAAGTTGCTTAACCTCTCAGTGCCTCAGTTTCCCAGTCTTTAGCAATTTCTAGTGTTTCATATTTCCAAAGTGCTTTGAAATCTTCAGAAGAATGATGGCTACTAAGGAGAATGATTCCTGACCCCTTTCAGTTTCTGGGGAGAATGAAAGAGGGGAGGGGAGAGAGTCTTGCAGCCCTGTGTGATGCAATGAGATGATAAGAAAGGAGTGGGAATACTGGGGATAGGGAGAGGCATATCTGAAAAAAGTGGTGAGTGAATTCTTGTTTGACTCCTCCTGTACCCTCCCCAGCTACCCTCGAGTCCCTGACTCATAGATATGAAAGGCTCCTTGGCATACACCTATGGTTTGGGGTAGAGGGTGTGGAAGAGTCTATGATTAGATTCCCAAAGCCTGTGGCTGCAATAAGAACATGCTGTACTGGGAGAAACAAATTAACTTTATTGGAGAGGGGAAGTGCTATTAGCTTCAGCTCGCATCCTGCTGATGTTACATCAAAACAACAAGCTTGCATCCTACCACAGCCAATTTACATTTCTGAACTAATCTGGTGTTTGTTTTCTTGTGCTTGCTTTGTAGGTTTGAAAGAAACTTTTGGGCTGTGAATTGAGGCACTGGGTATGTAAATTTAATTTCATGCCTTTTTAAATGTGTTGAATGAAATGTTTCATTAGGCCCAGCCAGAATCTGTATTCAGGAGAGTGGCTGCTCTGCACAAAATTACACATTCATATCCCACCGCCGCCAGTGGAACAGTGGCTGGAACTAATCCTGTCATTGAGGAATTTGGCATTTAAGAATCAAATTCCAATGTGGAATTTCAGGTGCTGGATGGTAGCTTCTTGGGAAAGGCCTGGGTCAGACCCTCCAACTTTGATCAAAGAGAACGTGTTTTGGAAGGCTTCACATCAAGAACTGTTGAGGGAAGAGGAACAGAGTTCTGGAATTAAGAATTCCTGGTGATTTAGATTCTAGGGAATTGGGTGTCCGGAGACCTGGGTTTTCTGTTCCTGATGCAGCTACTGATTAGTGACCCTGGGCAAATCATCTTCAGAAGTGGCCACAGATTTTTGGGTTCCCCACTAGAGACCCCTTGGTCCGGATTTTCAGAAGCACTGAGCACCTGTAGCTTTGTATGGGATCTTTATGAATAGCTCTAATTTCCATGGCTGGATCCTGTAGTTTGGCTGCCCACTCAACTGTGTGACGTCCGTGGGAATGACGCATGTATCAGAGCTGCAGGACCAAACCATAAAGTGTGTAATCTAATAATGCAGATTAGTGTGCAGAGTTTGCTTTGCTTTGTCTGCTAGTCCTCTGAGATCTTCAAATAGCAACTTCCAATGGAGCTGAGCACGGCTCCTGCTGACTTGGCCACAGTGGGAGCAGGAGCAGGCTTGGGGTGTGATGGGGAGGTGGTATAGCTTGCCCACCTATTCCCCAGGAAGGTCCTATTGTGTTCATCCTTCAGCTAGGAGTCTGGGACTCATGCTGAATCCACTCCAGTCATGGCCACTACAGATGGAAGCTGAAATGTGGTTGCATCCTAGATTATTGTTGTTTCTTCTCTCGCTGGGGGGTCTATTGCTGCCCTAACCAAACACTGTCTTGCAGGGTAGCCCCTTTGGAGTAGACCAATGGCAGGCTCTTGGCCCTGCTTTATGGTGCTTTCTCAGTCACTTCATGGTCCTATCTTTTTTTTTTTTTTTTTCTCTCCCTTTTTCAGGCAGAGTCAAGATGGCCTCTCAGGCAGACAGCTGCATCCAGTTCACCCGTCACGCAAGTGACGTGCTTCTCAATCTCAACCGCCTTCGGAGCCGGGATATCCTCACCGATGTTGTTATCATCGTGAACCGGGAACAGTTCAGAGCCCACAAAACTGTCCTCATGGCCTGCAGGTGAAGAGGGGCTAATGACACGGTCGCTTTCTCCTCCACCCCGCCCAGCCCCCTTTCCTTCCTCTGCGCGCACACGCTGTTCCGTCAGATAAAGAGCACGCCTGACGTCCCAGGGTCCAGCGCTGCCTGTCTGAGCCCTGTGTTCACATCCATGAATATCCGATGCTTGGCATCTGACTGAAACCCATTCGCCATTGTACACCGTAAATAAAACACTCGCCACCTCTCGTGGCCTTGTCACCGGGCCTCGTTTGACCAGGTGGCGCTATTGTGGAGGACATGAGAGGCCGTTGGCATGGAAGGACAGAGATGCAGGGAGGCTGCTCCAGGTGGCAGGAGCTGCAGAGGAGAAGGCGCTCGCACTCGGTGTAATTTGGGGGACCCGTGGAAGAATTTAATGCTAGATCAGAGGAGGGAGGAGACATGGGAGGGAGGGAGAGGATTTCCATGAGGGAAGTCTATGGAGGGTCTTTAAATTAACTAAGATCAGAGTTCTCAACCTTTTCCATAACAGGACCTCCCTGGGGCGAGCCTCCCATCCATCTTCCAGCGTCGCAATGTAGGAAGGGCAGAGATTGAGAGTTCGTGATGTCCCGATGGAGAACCCCTGTAATAAGTTCTCTCCCCCTCTCTTCTTCTGAAATCTTGCAACTTGGGTTCACTCTCCCCTCCCACCCCTTCTCCCCTTTGCAGCGGCCTCTTCTACAGCATATTCACTGACCAGCTAAAGTGCAATCTGAACATCATCACTCTGGCCCCAGACATCAACCCCGAGGGATTCTGCATCCTGCTGGACTTCATGTACACCTCCCGCCTCAACCTGAGGGAAAGCAACATCATGGCCGTCATGACCACCGCGCTCTACCTACAGATGGAGCACGTTGTCGATACTTGCCGAAGGTTTGTCAAGTCTAGGTGAGACACCTGTGGCTGAGTTGGAGAGCCTGTATTTTGGGGGGGTGAAGGGTGGAATTGCCAACACATTTGATAGCTTGTTTCAAAGGCTGGGAATAAGGCGTAACACCCTTCCTTTTGTCTCCATGCAGTGAAGCCGAGGTGGTCTCTGCAATGAAGACGCCAAGGGAAGAGTTCTTGACAGGCCGGATGCTGAGTCATCCAGAAGTGATGGCTTACAGGAGCCGGGAAGTCTCCGAGAACAACATGCCTCTCCGAAACACGCCTCTCTGCGATGGAAGGGCCTTTGCCTCCAGTTTGTACAGTGGCCTGTCTGGATCGCCCCTTTCCTACACTGGATACAACCCCATTCCAGTCAACGGTTTCCTCTTAGATGACGAGCTGCGAGAGGCGAGGATCCCTCTGCCGGATGTCTCGAGGGTCAACCCTTTCCCAAAGGAGAGAATGCTGCCATGTGACAGCTCCAGGACAATCCCTACAGACTACACCAGAGCTGTCACCGACCTTTCAGCCAACATGTGCCACGCCACCATCTATTCTCCAAAAGAGGCTGCTGCCGAAGAGGCCAGAAGTGACATGCACTACAGAATAGCCGCTGGCCCTAAGCCCGTCGCACCTCTGGTCCGAAACAATCCCTACTTTGCCTGTGACAAAGCAGCCAAAGAAGAAGAGCGGACCTCTTCAGAAGACGAGATAAGCCAGCACTTTGAACCAACCAACACACCAGTGAACCGAAAGGGTCTCATCAGCCCCCAGAGCCCCCAGAAGTCAGACTGCCAACCCAACTCGCCAACCGAGTCCAGCAGCAGCAAGAACGCCCGCATCGGTCAAAGCTCTGGCTCTCTGGGTACCAAGAGCCCTACTGACCCCAAAGCCTGCAACTGGAAGAAGTACAAGTTCATTGTCCTCAACAACCTAAACCAGAGCACCAAGCAAGACGGTGCCGACCAGAATGAAGCGGGGACCCTCTCCCCTCACTCCTACGTGTCTGCGTCGGCTTGCCAGCAGTCCATGGAACCTGAGAATCTAGACGTCCAGTCCCCAACCAAGCTGAGCTTGAATGGGGAAGACTCGACAATCCCACAAGCCAGCAGGCTCAACAACATTGTGAACAGGTAAGGCAAACCCCCTGGAGGAAACGGGACTCCTTGCAGCGCTGCTCGGTTTTATTAATGCTTTGGGTAGATGCCTAGTTTTGGTGAATCAGTTCCTCGGCAGGTGTAAATCAGTGAGTTCCGTGGAACCTCGCCAGTTGATGCCAACTGAGGATCTAGCCAGTAATGTATGTTTCCCAAATGTGTAACCACACCCAGCATAGGCTGATGGTTACATTAGGGACTAGGAGTCCTGGCTCATTCTGTGGCTGTGGCCACTTCACTTAAACCCTGTGCATCGGTTTACTCTTCTGTTACCTACCCGAGAGGGACGTTTATAAAGTGCGGCGAGATCCTTGTGGGATGGGCACTATAAAAGCATGAAGTGTGATTGCTGAATGCCCTGTAGAGGGAATGCCCAATGGGGCCCTGATCCCGACTAAGGCTCCTTTAAGTGTCCACCTGGCAATGCGTGTGTATTCTTCATGCCTGCGCTGAAGGAGGTGCTGTGATCTTATGGCACTAAAGCCTTCCGATGGGCGTTGCTCCTCTTCCACAGATCCCTGGATGGGTCCCCTCAGAGCAGTGAGGGGCAGTCCCCTCTGTACCTGCATTCCTCAAAATGCAGCTCCTGCGGCTCCCAGTCCCCCCAGCATTCTGAGATGTGCCTTCACACCCCTGGCTCGACCTTCGGAGAGGAAATGGGCGAAACCCACTCCGAATACTCTGACTCCAGTTGTGGTAAGTCCAGAATCCATCCTCCCGCACTTGCCCTTCCAGCTGGCAGAGGGGGGCGCCATGGAACCTGTGGGATGAAGCTCCCCCAATGCCATTCCGCCACATAGGAGAGGGGCCCGGCCGCAGCACCCCCAGAACTCTGGGCATGATGCATACAGGCTAGCAGGCTGGTGTCTGTCTCTACAATGGGCTGAACCCAAATTCTGAATCTGAACTTCAATGGTTCAGGCCATCTCTTTTCCAAGCGGATCTCAAAGTGCTTTCCAAACCCCCTGCTAACTGGCTGAACGAAGCATTCATGGGAATTGGTTTTTGCCTCTAACAAGGCAGCTTGGGCTAGTTGAGAGTAATTATCATCTCCCAACATTTTAAAACAGGATGTGAAGAATGCCACACCCAATCAAAATTGCCAGGGTGGGGGATTGAGCTCGGCAGAAAGAAATGATCCACACTTGGACCTGGCCATGTTATCTGCCTCACTCATCAGTCCTTGGAACTGTCTCTAGTCTAGACGAAAAATTGTGGATAAAGAGGGCTGGACTGTAACAGGGTTTAATAAGGAGCTAGATAAGTTCATGGAGGATAGGTCCATCAATGGCTATTAGCCAGGATGGACAGGGATGGTGTCCCTAGCCTCGGTTTGTCTGAAGCTGGGAATGGTTGACAGGATAGATCACTTGATGATTCCCTGTTCTGTTCATTCCCTCGGGGGCACCTGGCATTGGCCACTGTCAGAAGAGAGGATACTTGGCTAGATGGACCTCTGGTCTGACACAGTATGGCCATTCTTATGCTCTTAAGAGGCTTACGAAACTCCGTTTTGTAAAAATCTGTTTGCCTCCATCCTCCAACTCAGTGGGGGGAAAAGGAAGATTTTATTTGCTGCCCAAAACCCAAGTTTCCCCCAATGAGCAGAACTCTGAATTCATATACAGTGAAACCACCATCATGAGGCAGCCTTCCCACCTTCTGCTTCCTATTTACTAAGACGCTACTTCTGATTGGTTTGGTTGTTGGCTAGCCCCATGGGTGATTTGTTTTGCTGTGTATGTATGAAGGAAAGTGTAACGGACGCTGTGGAAGTGCTGCTTTCCCCAACTCCATCGAACCCCCGTGAAACAGACTTTAGCTTTGACACGCTGGCTTCCCCTCCCCACGGGCTCCTTGGCCCCGTCCATACAGGAGGCGACCCGTGTGCTGCTGTGCTTGCTGATCTCATTCATTCTCCCCGCCTCTCTCTCTGTCCCCGACAGAAAACGGAGCCTTCTTCTGCAATGAGTGCGACTGCAGGTTCTCTGAAGAGGCTTCTCTCAAGAGGCACTCCCTGCAGGCACACAGTGATAAGCCCTACAAGTGTGACCGTTGCCAGGCCTCCTTCCGCTACAAGGGAAACCTAGCCAGCCACAAAACCGTTCACACAGGTACAGCCCGGCGCTCCTGGTGCCAGCCCATGGCAATGTGTCAAAGCAGGTCCTGAAAAGCACACAAGGCCCTGAAAGCTCTGCCTTGCATGCAGGCCTAATCCGTATCCGGCACTGGGGCATTGCAACTGGGTATGCAAGGAAGGGCAAAGCACCCCAGCACCTGACAAGGGATGGTCGTGGATCTTCAGCCACATCCTGAGAGCCTGAACTCCTGGGTTCTGCTCCTTTGGAAATGGCTTAACCCCTGTGTGCTTCGGCTATAAATGGGGAAATACTTATGTTCCCCTCTGGGGGGCTGTGAAGCTTAATATCTGCAAAGTACTTTGGGATCCTTGACTATGAGGTGTTGCCTAGCATTTGGTTCTCTCTCCACCTGTGAACTGTATTGGCTGTTCCATTCAGAGTGTTTCGGGCAGGGAAGGGGCCCTTTGGACTTTTTTTTTTTTTTTTTTTATGATGGATAAAGAGGCTGAGAGGGGTTATTTTACCAAAAATAAATAGTCTGGTGGTTTTTCCATTAGAAAGTCTGATGACTGGCAAACGGCTGAAATGGTCTGAGCCAGTTGAGAAAGGAAGGGATCAGGGGTTGAGCTGCTGCTCAGAATCCTGGGTCGGGTTTGGCTTGTTTCTGTAAACGCTCAGAACATTGATAGCCAACTAACACTTTGGAGAAAGGAAGTTTGGGTTAAAGACCCAGCCTTCCTCCCCCATCAGTTGGGCTGAATTGCACATTGCCTGACTTTACAGCACATAAAGCTAAACACGTGCCGGATCGGAGCCGTAAGGTGCAAGAGCTCACAATATACATCCCCCTCAGATTCCTTAAACATCTTCCTGCAAAATCAGGGAAAAGCAGATTTGATGTTCAGGCTATTCTTCATTTAAAAACAAAGGCAGGAGGGGAAAAAATAAACTTCCGATGAACCTTTCAGCCCATCTGTTTCCATCCCAAGGATGCAACGGAGGATAAAGATCCAATGAAGATTACCTTGTGTAGATGGCAGGTGGGAATAATTGAGGCTGAATAGTTTGGAGTGCAGTTACTACTGACTCCATGGCTATGAACCAGCCTCTGTCGCTCTCAGCCTTGCTCACTTTGCCAAAGGAATGACCAACAATTGGATCAAATGTATTTAAAACCATTCAGAGACCGACAGAGCCAGGCAGATCTCATCTGCTTGCTGTATCTCTGCTTTGCTCACCCAGCTACAGTATAAAGTTGGTCAATATTGCTTGTCGCTGGACTAGGAGGGGCTAGTTAATCCTGTTTGGCAAAGCAGACAGACTTGCCTTTGTAGTCCTGATTTCTAGGGCTGTGCCTCACAATCTGAGCCAGACAGTAGTTCTATGAATAACTTTCTGGGAGAAGGAGAAGAGGGTCACATCTGGCTAGGGTTCCCTGCCAAAAATACCAGTGCGCAGTGGGTGTGCCACACAGTCAGTGAGCAGATTCTCTGCTGCACCCAAATGTTGTAGGCGGGAAGTTCCCTGACTCTTAACCCAGCTCTGTATGCAGGCTAGAGCAGCCTGAGGGCTGCTCTAACATGCACTGGTCCCCCAAGGGACCGCCTGCCAGCTGAGGATAGCTGGAGCATGCCATACTGTGGCCATGCCTCTTCCCTCCAGTGCCTGTGTGGAGGCTGGCGTAGGACCGGACTATGATTTGTAGTGATCTGTATGATCTGCCCCCACTGGGGACTCCCATCACATACACACTGAGGGAATTTCCAGCTAGGGGGAGCAAAAGCAGAGCAAAGGGATTGGAACACAGCAGGGAGTCTGCCCTGGGCTTTGCAGGTTCAGCGCTGCTAGGAGGCCCGTGTTTTTTCCATTCTCTTGTGGACTATATGGCAATTTAGTGACTGTAGTGGAAGCTTTGGGGCGCTCGGGACACTGTGTGCTAACCTGGCGTCTCTCTGTTTCTGGCGGGGTGACAGGCGAGAAGCCATATCGTTGCACTATCTGCGGAGCGCAGTTCAACCGCCCGGCTAACCTGAAGACCCACACACGCATCCACTCCGGAGAGAAGCCCTACAAGTGTGAGACCTGCGGGGCCAGATTTGTCCAGGTGAGGATCCCGCTTCATGCTCTACAATTCCCCTGGAGAGTGGGAGGCGTCTTCCTGCTGCTCTGGGTCCTGGGGCTCTGCTGGATGTCTGTGATATGGGAAATGCCCTGAAGGGGGCACTGTTCCTTGCTTAGGGCCTGGTGATGATCCCATGCTGTTGTGGGGCAAATACAGGCCCCTGGAACTTTGCCCTTGGCAGGTCAATGAAGCTAGTCCATTGTTTTTTTCAATGAAACAGATCTGTGCCTCTTACATTTCTCCGTGTGCTGTCAGCCGTTCGGGCTCTCAAAGGGTTTTGCTGCAAACATTCATTAGCTTATGCCCATGGAGTCTGATCTAGGATTCCGTACTCGAGGAAGATGGCCCTTCGGATGGTCACTTGAGTAATAAGGACTGGGCTTGTGGTTAGAGCCTCTGGCCACAGAGATGGCAGCTTTTCAAACTCCTTTTGATGAAACTGGTTTATTAGAAAAATCCATTCGGTTTAGAGTCTGCCTTTAATATCAGAGCTGCCGTACCGAGTGGTCAGTCCAGTGTTGCCTCTCATGGCCAGTGGGTGGGAGGAGGATTTCTTCCTGACCCCAGCTGTTGTCTGGCTAATGCCCTGAAGCATGAGGATTGATAGGAGTGGCTTGGGGAGCTTGGTCTGAATGTGAAGTGCATGTGGCAAGCATGCCTATGGGGACACTTTTCTGACATTGTCTCCTCTGCGGCAGGTTGCCCATCTCCGAGCTCATGTGCTAATCCACACTGGCGAAAAACCCTACCCCTGTGAAATCTGTGGCACGCGCTTCCGGCACCTGCAAACGCTCAAAAGTCACCTTCGAATCCACACAGGAGAGAAACCGTACCATGTAAGTGACCTCCTGGCGTTATCGGTGCTAGTCACCACGAGCCAGAACTCCCTAGCAGCCATAAGGGCCACGTACCGTGGTGGGGAGAGGTTGTCCGGCACTGACCGCTGGCATCACCCCTGGCATGGCTCAAGTCCTGACCACCAGTTCAGTCTTAGCTCTGGTGTATCCTTACCAGGCTTCTCCCCAAGGACACCTCTCCGTTTCCCCTCCCCATCCACCCTCCGGTACACAGGAAATTAGAGGCCTGCTGCTGAGATGGCATTTTGACGGGTTGAGCTGTATCTGGAACCAGCCCTGACCTGTTTTCTCGACCTGTTTTCTCTTCCTCCCCTTCCCCAACCGAAGAAGGTCACGTTCCTTCAAAGGGCCTCGGCTCACGTCACAGTAGAGGACAAAGGACATTGCTTCTCTACTGTACGGGAGGGTGAGAGATGCTAGAGATGAGGTGTGTCAAGACGTCCCCTCCAGGCTCAACTCATCCCTGGCATAGCTCTACGGAGTGAGGGCTATTCACCGGTTAGGGTACGCTGCTGTGCAGTTGGTGGCGTTACCCCAGGGGTGAGCTTGGCCCAGGATGCTTTTTTAACCCTGAGGCCCATAACATGGGGGCTTAACCTCCAATCCAAAGAGCTGGAGCTAACCAGGAGTAGACGCTACCACGACACGGAGGGACTGGGGCCTGGAGTGGCCCCGTGCCATGTAGCACCCACTTCCCATGCATCTTCTTGGGAGCCCCCATCCGACCCATATGGAGATTGCTACGTACAGTCTCCTGTGCAATATCAGCAGGTGGGAATAGTTAGGATGGAAGGGGACAGAAAAAAGCTACTTTGAGTCTTACGCGAGGCAGAACTCTGGTTTAGAGGCTAAAGCAGGCAAGCTAGGACCCCGGGGTCTACTTCTAGCTTTGCCACTGACTTGTTGCGTGGCCTCAGACAGGTCACTTAACCTCTCTCGTGCCATTTTTCCCCCTCTGAAGAAAGGGGGTGTCCAGGGTGCTGAGAGTCCTGAGCAATCCTTGCTTAGGACAAGATTTCGAGTCCCCAGACAGAGGCACTACAGACCTGCCAAGTGCTTCATATCACTCTTACTCACTGTGTTTAAAGTGACCGGCTGGGAGATGGCGTCCGTCTTTTCGTTAGCATCTCGGCAACAAAGATATTTTAAAATTGAGGCAGAAGTGTGGGCTGGCGGGTCAGGCGCTGGCCTTGGGTTCAGATCCCGGCTCTGCCACTGACGCCTTGCGTGGCTTTGGGCAAGTCACTTAGCCTCTCTGCGCCTCAGTTGCTCATCTGTAAAATACGCTCCCACGCCATGTTGCAAGGCCACATGAATGAATGATTGTGAGGCAACTCCGACAGGGCGGGGGCTGCTGGGGGCATATATGTGGCTAGATTACATATGGCTCTGTAAACTTTTGAGCTAACAGCACCTTCCCCATCCTTTTGGTTTTAGTGTGAGAAGTGTAACCTGCATTTCCGCCACAAAAGCCAGCTGCGGCTGCACCTCCGGCAGAAACATGGTGCCATCACCAACACCAAGGTGCAATATCGCGTCTCGACAGCCGAGCTGCCACCAGAACTGCCCAAGGCGTGCTGAAAGCCAGGTGGATTTCTCTGCGGGGAGAGGGGAAGGGGAGTCTGGGGGAAGGGGGCGGGGGGAGATATCCAAAGGATACTTGTAACACTTGTAACACTTTAAAACTTTCATCACACGATGGAGTGCCTCTAAGCCCATAGTGCAGAAGGTGGGAAAAAATATTAAAAAATACACGGGTTTTATTTTTATTTTTCCCAGTTATGTGAAACTAAAAAAAACTTATTCAGATTTAAATGTGTATAAAAAATGTCTGTCCAGTGGAGTGTTGATAAACTCTGGAGTTTAACCTTCACAGTCTGAAGATGAGGAAGGTCATGCTGATTTACGGGAACAGTTGGGTTTTTTTATTTTTTATTTTTTGTGTTGTTGGGGTTTTTTTTGCTTTCTCTTTGTATGCAAAATGTGTGTTCTTTTAAAGAGACGAAAAGAATTGTGTACTATTGAAGAGAGGGCTTTAACTTTTTTAACCAAAGGTGAAGGAATCTATGGCAGAGTTGTAAAATATATGTGTATATATATATATATATATATCAAATATAAATATATATATATATACATATATATCAAATATAAATATATATAAAAATATAAATATATATAGACCTTAAAGATATATTAAAAATATATAAAATGCATTGAAGACTTGATTGAGCATCTGCAGGCAGATGCTGATTTGAGACTCTTTAGTGTGGTAGAGCACTTAACAAGATATTTTAAAGTATTGCATCTGTATAAGTAAGAAAATATTTTGTCTAAATGCATCAGTGTATTTGTATTTTTTTGCAAGTGAAGGTTTACAATTTACAAAAAAAAAAAGTGTGTATTAAACCAACAAAGCTGCAGAAGGAATTTAAAATAATAATAAAGTGTAATTTTTTTTGTTTTTGTTTTCAGTCTGTATATATGTAAAATGTGGTTCGCACGGTGCCTTTTTTTTCAATGGACGTTTTCAATGTATGAACTGTATGAGCCCAATTTCCTTTTTAAGGTACAGCCTTATGTTGCAAAAGGAGTCCTCTGGCAGAACTGTTTATCGGGGAATGTTTTTTTTTGGGGGGGGGGGGGATGGAGGTTGGGTTTTTGGGGTTTTTTAGGTCTTATTTTACATGCTTGTGTTATGAACAATCTCGGGAGACAGGGTTTGGGCTGTGTCTAAACTGCATTAACGCGTTCTGTAAAATATAGCTGTACAAATACAAGAATAAAACGATGAAAAGTGAAGTACAGTGGAGTGAGGGGTATTTTCTTCTGTCTGTTTGGCTTAAAATGTCTTGATCTGGTATTCTCTCACTTGGAAGGGTCCAGACTTAGTCACTAAGGGTCTGATCCAAAATGCACTGAAGTCAATAGGAAAGACTTACCCTAATCCCTATTGAGGCATGTGGCCCCAACCCAGCAAAGCATGCGCCCAAGTGATTCTGTTGACTTCAAGGGCCTATGCTACTTGCGTACAGTTAAGCATGATCTCAAGTGATTTGCTAGATCATGACCAGTGAGTAGCCTGCAGTTCCCGTTGACTCCAGTGGGTCTTCTGTGAATGCTCAACACCTTTGAAACTCAGACCACTTTTACTAATGTGCCTAGCTGCGAAGTCCACGTTTTCCAAATTTGGGGGCCTAATGCTCAGCACTGAAGGGCTAGATTGCTGATGAGTCAGAGTCCGTAATCTCTAGCTGAGGAGCTCAGCTGAAGATATGGTCTAGGCCATATAGATTCTCTTGTGAGTCTCCACCCTTCCCACTTGGAACCAGAGGGACCCACCTCCCTCCATTCATGACTGCATAAGGCCCCGGTGGCAATACCAGTCATCCTTTGGCTGGTGAAGTCTGACTGGGGATGTATTTTAGGAGCTGCAAAGAAGGAGACACCAGTAATCATGTGACTGCCAACAAATTGTTCCTGGACCACAGTTTCAGAACTTCTGCTCCGCTTTGATGTCCGAGCAGGTATTTGGCTTAACAAAGAGAAGGTAAGGGGTAACATCTTTATAGTCTGTGAGTACCTACAGCGGGAACAAATATTTAATCGTGGGCTCTTCAGTCTAGCAGAGAAAAGTGTAACCCAGTACAATGGCTGGATGTAAAAGCTAGACAAATTCAGACTGGAAATAAGGGGTACGTTTTTAACGGTGAGAATAACTAACCCTCGGAACAATTTGTTAAGGGTTGTGGTAGATTCTCCGTCATTGTCCATTTTTAAATCAAGGTGGGATGTTTTTCTAACAGATCTGCCCTAGGAATTTTGTTGAGGATATTCTCTGGCCTGTGCTAGGCAGGAGATCAGATGAGATGAGTACAATGGCCTTGGAAGCTACGGGCTGAGAAATTTAACAGAATAGCTGCTGTCCCCATGTGACTTGTTGGTTGCTATTTTTGCTCTGGTGCGCAAGCAACACCAGCTAATAAAAGTCATGTTTGATTTCAAGTTCTGCTGGAAGCACTGCCCTCTGGGGAGGTAAAAGTCCAGTGTCTATGTGGAAAAGGACAATATTTGTGTAGGGGAAAAACTAATTGCATCCATGAATAAATAATACCCAGCAGCCTAAGTAATAGACCAAAATACTGCACTGTCCAAGAGCCCTGTTTTGCTATGAACTCTTCTCTTTATCGGCTACACCCCACTCTGCCTCTCAACTCTCCACTCAGGCTAATGAAGCCTGGAGCATATTTTGAACTAAGGAGAGCAACCCCGCTGCTGCTCAAGCATTATAAGCGTGGCTCAAAGGCCACTGGGCTTTAGCTGCCGGATCACCGTGGTGCCCGCCACCCTGCTAGCATCTGCTGCATTGTGCAACAGTGAAACTGAGCTGTGTTTGTAGCCTCTCCAGGAAATGAACGATCCAGAGCATGGGGGTGGGTTACGTTATTGCACTGTCTGGGCTGCTGGCCAAAGGTGGGACAGTCCAACCTGTCTGGACCCTAGTGCAACATGATGAAAGAAACTCACTTCCTCTGTTGATAAACCACTGGGCAAGGCTCCCGTTTGTTAATTTAAGGCCAGGGTTTCCAAACCTGGCAACGTAAATGAAAAACTATGCAGCACCCCCAAATTCCACAGACCTCAATGGGAGCTGCAGGTGCTCTGCATTTCCTTAGGTCAGGCGCCCACTTGTGAGATGCCTGGCTTTATCTTTTTAAAGGCACATGCAGTCTGATCACCACACCACGAATGTCCGTGCAGCTGGACACTGCCTCGGCAACGTGCCAGATGATGAACGAGCTACGTGGAAAAATAATCAGACCCGCTACCTTTCACTCAAAGGGGCGTCGCAACTAGAAACAGGCAGGAATCTTTGGGGTGGAGAGGGGCCACAATGAAGCCAGGAGTGGCGCTGTAAAGGCAGGGATGAGACGTTTAAATTTGATGCAGCTCTGAAGGGGGAACCGATGAGGAGGAGGAGAGATGTGGGGAAAGCAACGAGGGAGGGTATGACACAGGGTGTCCGATAGGCAAGGAGAAGGCAAGAAACAAGACAGCGCCTGGACAAGCATTTTAGCTACCGGAACAGATTTTCCATTGACACTGGAGGAAGGTGTGACAAGACCCAGGCCAGGCCTGGAGGTGAGTGCTACCAATCTGACACCGACCAACGAGTGCTATGTTCACGGAGGACGAGCTCCTTGGGTGGGGGGCGGGGGGTTCGCCTGAGTCTGCAGCATCTTGGGCTCCTCTACCAGCATGGAAAGATTTTCTCCTACCACGAGCCAGAAGAGGTGATCAGTGAGGCCCAAATAAAGACCAGGCCTGCTACCACGTGGCCACCAGCTCACCACCACTGTCCAGCTGAGAACGGAGCTGGGCTAGAGATAAACCGGGGGGCCAGGGTTACTTCTAGGGGTGGGTCAGCAGGGCAGTTGCCCTGGGTACCAAACTGCTGAGCTGCTTGCCTTTTTTTTTCTTCATCTCTGTGCTCTGATTGACTGGCCATTTTTGCTTGACCAACTTTTTCCCTTTTGCTCGACCACTTGGGTTGTGGGGGAGCCATTTGCCCTGTTGGGCCGGCTGACAAAACAGCTACTGCCTGGAGTGCTTCAGTCTGGATCCAATCGCTCCCATGGATGGGACTCTGGCTTGGGCCCATGAATGGTGTTTTCTGGGACAAGAGCAAGGTGAGCAGCTGGACCTAGATGGGATGGGCCAAAGGCGTCTTTCCCCGTTGGTGGCGATCAGTGACGGAGCACAGCTGGCCGTCTTAGTGCTCCGGCGTCATATCTGCTCAGAGAATCCAAGGTTAAATACACTCCCAAAAAATCCTTCCCCTCTGATGCGTGAAACCTTCATGTCAGATAACACTTGCACATGAGCCATGTTACTCTGGTACCATATTCGGAAAAATGTCAAAATAAAACATCTTGAAAAGCTTGAAACTTTTTCTTTTCAACAATTTAGTGGGTCAGAAAATGCTTCCAACTTGACCATGGGTCACAAAGTTTGTTTTTGCCAAATCGGTATTTTCCAACCAAAAAAAACACTTGGTTGCAAAACTCCCGACGCTTTGAGAAGAGCTCTGTGTAAGCGCGAAAGCTCTTCTATCTCCCCAACAGAAGCTGGTCCCACAAAAGATATCACCTCCCCCACCCTGTGTGTTTGTTAGCATGCCACTTGGATCTCTCCCTGGCACTCATCTGGTCCCTGTTTCCATAGTCTCTGAGCGTTGCACAGTTGTTACTGTATTTTGGAAGATTGAATGTTTTTCTAAAAGTTCTGCTCTAGGAATTATTGTAGGAAGTTCTCTGGCCTGTGTTATGCAGGAGGTCAGACTAGGTGATCACAATGGTCCCTTCTGGCCTTGGAATCTAGTTAGGCTCAAAAAAACCCTATACGCCAGGGCTGCGCTGTTTTCCCCATGTACACATGGGAACCAAAGCACAGGGAGACAAAGTGACTTACCCAAGGTCTCCCAGGAACTCAGTAGCAGAGCAGGAACTTGCACCCAGGTCTCCCAAGTCTTAGCCTAGTGCTAACCACTGAACCATAGCTTCCCAAGTGGGAGAGGTTGGACTGGATTCCATCCCCCACAGACCAAACTTTGAGTTTTCAGGGTGCAGAGACTTTTGCCCTCTATGCAAATCAATCCATGCAGAGATCACACACAGCCCCAGTTTGACTCTAGTATTTTTATTATGCTCATAACAAAAAATATCAAGGGCCCGATATTCCTAATTTGCATGCTTAGCTGCATGCACAAAATCGGTGTTTGCATGGACTAGTGGTCAGTGAAACACAGCAGGCCGCTTGCTCCCATGTGCACTCAGTTTTGCCCGTGCAATTGCAGTGATGTGACTCCACACCAAGGTTTGCCCACAGAGTTGTGTACTTGCATTTAAGGATGTTTGCATCTTGAAGAAGTAGTTGAAAATGGAGTGGATCGAGCGTTTTTCAATCAAATGTTTTTTTGGTTGAAAAATGCCCATTTGTCTAAAACAAACTTTGTGAACCAGGGTCAACTTGGGCAAATTTCCTTAAAAGGCTGGGGAAAAAGAGTGTCAAAATGTTCAGAATGCTTTGTTTTGACATTTTCAAAAGGAAGCATTCCAGTTTTCCAGGACAAAATGACTTTGCGTTTCAAAACGTAAGCTAATTAGACTGAGTGGGCGAAAAGGGCAAAATAGAAAGTACATGTTCTGAAATGATTGAAAGAAAACTTTCTGAAACCTTTCAATGGACCCAAAATTTCAGGTTTTCAGTTTGTGGATACTTTTGTGGAGAGTTTGACTGTTCGTCCAGATTTGAGATTTTTGGGGGGTGGGGTGGGGGAATTCCCACATTTGAAAATATTCACAGGACAGGAAACAGTTTCCCACACAGTAATAGTTGATTGGTTTATTTATTTTTATGAAAAATACCTTTCTGATAAAGCAGGCGTTTTCAGAAGGTCATTCCTGATGTGGTCAAAATTGGGGGAGGTTTCATCTAAAACTCCCCAAACCTGCAAAGTGTTTGTTTTTCACATTTTCAACATCCCCTCCTGATATTTCTGGAGGTGCAGCAGGAGCTGGCTCAGAACGGGATGTGGAAATCAAGCCACCAAACACTTTTAATGGTAAAACAGACGCAAAATCACCTTGTTTGAAATTTAAGGAATGTTTACACATAGGAATTATCTTTGCAACTTTCCAAAAACATGGAAATTACCCTAAATATATTGATGGATGTGATAATTCCAACACCTGTATTTTATTTATTTATTAAGGCAAATAAAAAATAGCTTCTTCAGGCTTTAA